TGTTATTATTGCTCATATCCTGTTGGCACATAAGTTCTGCATATTTTTTTTTGTTGTTTAGGCGAATTTTAGGCTTTATATCTTCTAATTGGAAAGAGATAAAGGTTTGAAATTTTTAGTATAGATAGAACTCGAGATCTATCTATACTAAAAATTTCAAACCTTTATCTCTTTCCAATTAGAAGATATAAAGTCTAAAATTCGCCTAAACAACAAAAAAATTGTGTAGAACTTATGTGCTAACAGGATATTATTCACTGCGTGAAAATAATATTGATGATGTAATATCATACTTTTGTATTTTGTTCTATGATATCTGTGTTATTGGAAAATAATTTATTATGTTTATTTGTTTGTATTTATTGAGTTAAGTTTTCTTCAAGAGTGATATTGTGATGCTTGAAGAAATAATAAAATAGATTGGTTATAAGATGGTTGAAACGTTTAGTATATGCTTCATTTAATCGAAAATTAAAGAAGATGTCGTGTTTGTCCTGCTTAGTGTCCTGTCCTGCCCTGTCCTGTCCTGCCGCACAGGACAGGTGGACAGGGCATTTTTCGTCCTGTCCTGCCGCTCAACAGGACGAAGGTTGGCTGCAGGACAGGACAGGACAGGAGGATAAATCATTTTTCGTTCTGTCCTGCCGCTCAGCAGGACGAAGGTTGACTGCAGGACAGGACAGGACAGGACAGAAAAAGTTGTCCTGTGCTCATCTCTGTACGAAAAGTCATTCTGAGTTTTACGTTTTGTTTTCAACCGAAATTTAGCCTTTTATAGGAACGAGGACACTCGTGTATTCTTTGAATATTTAATTATGCAAGGTATTTTACAAATAAGTATCAATGTAACTATTATTATCTTTCACAAGAAAAACCAATGTAATCACGGGAGTCTGTCGAGAGTGGCAGCTTGCACAGGTACTTCAATCTTATGGAGCGAATTCTACAGCACTTTTCTGAAGTATAAGTAATAAGAAGACTTGATAAAAGAATTCATAATGATGAAAATATGTTAATAGGATACTTTATCTTTGATGAATTAATTACATTATATGCATTGATAAGTTTTAAAATTCAAAATTTTACTAATACTATTCTAATCACTCTAATAAATATTCTCATATGACAGAAATTCAAGCATTCGAAAGTACTAATTATTCAACCAAGTTACATTTTGTGCATCACAAAAGTAAAAGAAAAAATGCTGTGGGTAATAAAACATTTTTCAACGACAAATATGTTTTGTTTCTACTCACATTTCTCTGTCATGTTTTGGTAAGAGAATGAAATGTTGCGCATAAAAAAAAAATCATTTGACATATAATTCTCTTCTCGACTTTATTCATAACTCAATTCATCGACTTTTTTTTAATGGATGAAGTTAAAAAACAATTTAGTACTAGCATTACACAACCAAAAACAACATCAAGTAAAGAGAAAAAATTCTTTTTTTTTTGTTTTGTTTTTCATGATTATTAATATTTCGTTTTTTTTTTTTAATCTTTTGAGAATCTCTAATTAAACAAATGAAGTAAATAAAGAATATATTTTTGAATATTTTAAATTATTTATTTTTAATATTTATCTCGTATTTAATAGATCAATGATAACATGTTTTGAAGATCTTTCCAATGAAATTCTTTATGATATATTCGAGTTTTTTGATAGTTATGATATTTATGAAATATTTTCTAATCTTAACAATCGTTTTTATTATCTTATTATACATTCATCTTTACCACTTAAACTTAATTTTTCTTTTTTATCAAAAACAACTTTTCAACATCGATACAATACTATTTTAATGTCAAATATACATCGTATTATATCTCTTCAATTTTCAAATCATCTTCTTATTGATTATTTCTTCACATCATTTTCTTTCGATTCATCTTTTATTCGCCTTGAAATTTTAACTTTACATAATACGAAATTTGATACTCTTATTTCTATTCTTACAACTCTACCATTTTTACCACGTCTTTATTCTCTTATTATAACTATTATTGAAAAAATACGATCTCCAGATGATATCTATTGTTTAATTATACGTTTACCTGTATTAAAATATTGTAAATTATCATTCGAATTATGGAATCGAAATATTAATTTACCATTGAATAATGATGAATATAGTTATATTGAACATCTTATTATTAATACAAAATGTAATCTTGATCAATTAAATAATTTTCTTATTTATTTACCAAATCTTAATCATTTATCATGTGAAATATCAACATTAAATAGTAAACAAATCAATATGTCTATTATATCAAAAAATTTCGTTAAACTTTGTCTTAAATTAGAAGATACATCATTTGATGAATTTGAATGGTGTATTTCATGTTTTTCACATCAACTTCAATCCTTAAGTATTTCTACTCAACGTGATATTGAATTTTTAAATGCTGATCGATGGGAAAAATTAATTTTATGTCAAATGCCACATTTATGTCGATTTAATTTTCGACATCAAATAATTACAGATGAAAATATGATTGATTATTCCAGATATCATTTATTAATCGATAAATTCAAATCATCATTTTGGACTAATCGACAATGGTTTTTTACACATCAACATTATAAATTAAAAGATTTTACTTCTTGGATCATATTTTATTCTATACAACCATATAGGTACAAAAACTAAATGATAAATTATATTTATTAACGAAAGAAAATACAATATAATCTCGCTATAGTTTTCAAAAATGTCCCACTATGAAAAATTTTCCTTTCGTCTATGTCAAGTCATACTTTTCTGATTAAGTCTTTTTGTGAGATGAACAGATTTGAATAAAAAAAAAGAGATGTTATGAGTTTGATATTTTTTGTTTTAAAAAAAAATTGGATTTTGGTATCGAGAACTAAACTTGAAACTTTAAAAATGTTGAGTGATGTACCATTCGATTTAGAATTCAATTCTCTACAAAATGATCTATTTATTTTTTTTTTAATTTTCTTTCGCTAAGAAAAATTGAAAGATTCTTGTAGAGTTAATGAGTGCTCGTTTAGATGTATCGACTCGATTCTTGCGTAGAACAATTATATGTACGAGAAGCAGAGATAGAACCGGTACCGGTTACCGGCCGGTCCGGTACCGGTACGAGTTTTAGACCGGTCGACTGCCGGTAGACCGGTTCATTACCGGTCTACCGGTCGATTGCCGGTCTACCGGTCGATTGCCGGTCTGTTGGTCGATGACTGGTCTGTCTAGTTTACTGTCCTGCTTTTATTATATATAGTTATATGAAAATTTCTTATTTGTTCGAATATTATCATGTCTTTAGGATTTTACATGATCACTTTTATATCA